AGAGCGGGGGGCGGGGGGGAGGGGCCAATGGATACGAGATACGCGAGATAGTACACGCGTTTGCTTTTACACCGTCTATTCATTCGGCAAAGAACAAACGCGAGAATAATGTAATGGAAACGTATGAAAAATCTCTGGTTTCGTTGTTAAGATATTGTATTGTTGGATAGTACCCAACGTATTTTCGTGTTATTTCAGAAATTTTATATACCGCCACGAGGTATAATAAATCCTTTAATGGATAATTAATTTACCCCTTGTGCTTAATGATTTATCTCTACTTTGAAGTAATCTACTATTTGCACCGTCTAAACATCAAAGGGATCATTTTTCTTCGTCAGATGAAAAAGAAAGAAAGAAAGAAAAAAAAAAAAAGAAAAAAATGTATACTTAAATATGATTAACTGTATTATTATTAAATTTCAGTTCGCGTATAACCGAGTCTTTTCATTTTCGAGTTGATAATAAAGCTTTCACCTTTTTTTGCCGTCTAAAACCTTACCTTTTCTTCCTCTTAAAAAAGAAACTCGGCTAAAGTTAAGATGGGGACAAAAATATGATATCTTGATATTTTACTTTCGGTAAAAATGGAAACAATGATTCTCGCGAGACGTCAGCTAGCGTATTTAAGCTTCTACAGACATGACTTTTTAGAATACCCGCTGAGAAATTGTAATTTTATCATTCGCGAAGGGAGTCAAAATTAACTGAAATCATTATTCGAGAAATATCGAAGAAACTACGTGTGTTTCCAATTTTATCAGAAAAAAAATTGTAAAATCTGATTTTAAAAAAATAATGACAAATAAATACAACACCTATAATCAAAAGAATATCACATCTTTCATATTAAAACAATCATCAATGACAAATTAAATTAAAAAAAAATAAACACGTATTAAACTAATAATTATGATAATGGCGTGTAAAGACAAACAAAAAGAGAGAGAGAGAGAAAGAAGAAGAAGATAAATCAAATGTAGAAAATAAAATATAAAAAAGAAAAACAAAAAAACAAACCAGTGAGACTTGGTGTCCTTTTTTATTTCCCTTTAGGAGCCTAAACCATTCTTCCAGTAGCACACGTTTTAAAACTGCTACTCAGAAGGGGTATGATGGGTATATACCTACCTCTTTCCTGTCGTAGCTGCGCCGCGTGTCGGCGCGTGGCTCCTCGTGGTGCGTCTAAAACACGCGCGCGCATCCTCGTACGTGTGTCACCTGGTGGTATACACAAATACGCTTTAACCAACCCACATACACTTAGAGAGATCAGCGTATAACCAACGGACTGCTCCTCTCGTCGAGCAATCCTATCCCCTCTACGTAATTTTCCCTCTAACACAGAGGACGCCCCTCTTCTACCGTTCGTTCTCTTTCTCTGTTGTGTGTGTGTTAGCCCTTCCTCCCACCATCGAAATCGATGCTACTCGCGGATCGTAAGTTCAGTCTGCGACTAGGCAGCGCGCCTTCTACGTCGCGTAAACGCGTTTAACTTCGGAATTCTATCTTAATCCACAATCTGTCATTAAATCATAACCCTAAAACCAACCCCCCCAACCCCCCGTAACCCGTTCCGCCAGCCAGCTCACCACCCGTCGATAATAATTATATTAGATCTCATATTATGGAATTAAGGAGGATTTATCTGTATAGATATATCGATGTCAGATTGAAATATTAAATCGTGATTTAATGTTAAGACACTTAATTTTAGATCATTGTGATGATCATCACTTACAAAGAACAATTAAAAGCTCGTGGTGTAAGGATAAGAGATAGGCAGCAACAAGTATCAACATCATAAAGATTTATCTTAAAACGTTCCCTCCTTCTTCCGAAGATGGGGAGATGTGAACGCAAGAAATGTCATCAACGTGATCCTTTCTCATACGTATCGTATACCTCTAAAAAGAGAACCTGAAGCAAGCGAATGTGCGAATTGGGGTTATTTTCATCCTACGGGACGGTAACAGGAAGACCCGTCGTCGTACCTGGACTCTTTTCCGGTGAGTAAATCAAGACAATGATCAACAAATAATAATAATAATAATAAGATGAATTTTGATCGAAGATCTGATTTTGTTCGTGTTTATCGAGAAATATCAATGGAAATGAAATAAAAATTAATTTCACGAATAGATGAGAACGATAAACGGCCAAAAAATATAGATAAAAACAAAAAAAAAATAAAAAGGATGAACGAATAGGTGTACGGGGCTGCGCATAAATACGATGGTATGACGTAAAATTTGATGACGACGCGTCATAGATCGCACAGTATTACGTTGGATACGTCGCACCGTAGAAATGCCATGCGAATCCGTGCTATGCTATGGACATATAGCTGGAGGATTTACCAGAGACGTTTCGGTGACAGTTTCCATTAGGGTATACCACGTGATGCGTCGACGATGGTCGCTTCTATCTCTCTCTCTCACTCTCTCACTCTCTCTCTTTCTCTCTCTCGACCCTTTCCCAAGCTGTCCTGATGTTCGCAAGAAATTTCACCTATCTCTTTCCCCATCTCTCTCACACCCACACACATATACGCACGCATACATACACACCATTCCTCTCACCCTAACTAACCCACCCCATCCCACCCCCTTTTCACTTCTCGGCGTGTCACGCAAAGTCAGATAGAGAGAAACACGACATATATACATATAGTATATATACTTAGATCACGTTGCACACTTCAAAATGTACAATACTCCGGTAACTGTTTCGCGGGAAAGTAGCTAAACGCGAGTCGCTGAAACTTTGTTAATTAATTGCTTCGGAAATATAATCCACGTCGAGTGTAACTAATCAGGGAGAAACTCGGTCGGACGTTGACGGGCATGTTTGCTGCACCTATCACGTAGCGGGATGGAAATGTAATTTGCCGGGATAGAGTTAGCCCCGTTGAATGCCGTGGCCAACGATATCAAACGTTACCCCCCTTCTATTCTCTCTCTCTCTCTCTCTTCTGGTAAAACCCCGCGACAGCTCGCCAACCAAAGAGATCTCTTTCTCTCTCTCTCTCACACACGCATACACTCTCTCTCTCTCTCTCTATTCCCCATTCTTCATTCTCGCATTGATCGCCATTCTCGAAATTTCGCACGTAAGGATCCAACGATGAGCTCGAATTCTTCTTCTTCTTCTTCTTTTTCTTCTTCTTCTTCATTTTCTACCCCCTTTATAATATATATACGCACATGTACAAATTCATTTCTTTCCTGGTTTATAGTTACTGTCTTTTTTTAAAAGTGTGTATATAGATATATGTATCAGTTCTCGATTAATTTCTAAATGTTTGAGTGAAACTTTTGGTACCCTGGCACGCGTTCTACTACTTTCAAACTATAACGTAAAAATTGATCCCTCCTTTTGGTATCGTTACTTTATAAAAATTTACAACCCGATTTACAAGTTTAATTTTGTTTGCTAACTTATTCGATTTACATCAACGTTATATTATCTTACGAATACTGTGGAAAAAATATCACGACAATGTAATATTTGATGCAGTTATTGCTTGTGTATTATATTTGGACACTGTATCTATTGAATACTAAATCCATTTCAGAGTATGCAATAAATGAAAAATCGTTATGAGATATATGCAATTTTGCGTTTATAATTCTCTCGTTAAAATTAAATAATAATATATTATTAAGAACATTAAAAAGAAAACCGACGGCTAGATTCTTTTTGGGATGATCAAAACTGAATAATAAAACAAATTACCAGGCTATTTCTATTGGCAAACTTTGTTGATTCTTTATTCATAGTTAACGAGAACAAGTAGATGCGCGAATAAAAATGTTGTTGTCTCTCAAAATCCTGTATCCGTTATCGGGAATGATAATCGTACGTTCGGGATAAGTCGTCGAGAGACGATTTTCGAGCATTACATGGAAATGGTTTTAGTGTCGAGTGTGTCACCGAATCGTCGTCCACCGATTAAGTTCCGGCAACTACGATTAGAAGCTTCGAAATTCAAAATGCATGTTTTCCTCTCCATCCTCATATGCATTTTATCCGTTGTTATACATAAAACTCGTTAGAGTTCTGCACGTAAAAGTGTACCATTTTATAAATGGAAAATGAAAAAGAAAAGAATAAAAATAAATAAAAACAAGAAAATGTATGAAAATTATTCTGCTAACTGATGAAACTGATATCTGTATACGAGTTCCGTACAACAGACATAAAACCCATGTGAAACTCATGTGAAACTCAAATCTACCGCGTTTACTAAGAAAAATCATTTGATTTAAAATCCCAACGTAATCTTAGCTTCGTATGAAGATATTTAAAATCACAATTATTTGTTCAAAATATGATCTAATTATTATCAATCAAATAATGTGTTAGTTTAATATTCTTTTTTTTTTTTCGACAAACGAATCACTGACACTCGAGTCAATTAAGTTGTGTTCCAAAAAGTAATTTCATTTTTCTCGCACAGATTTCGTTACTCGCATATTGCACATATCACCTAACTTTACTTTAAACATCAAAATCGTTTCATATATATTTTGACAACATGTAATATATTTCAGACGCGACTTCAAATTTCTTTGCAAAACAAATTATTGTACTTTTTTTTGCCCCCGAAAGTTGACAATATTTTGGGTGATAATACAAATGTACAAGTTGATTATGAATAAAACAAAAGTAAATGAAAGAGATTCTGTCCATCCGCAGTATAAGCTCGTCTAAAACATACTGCTTGCAAACCGCAGAATATTACTAATATAATCCATACCATGATATTTGCAATGCAGGATACAAATCCGTATTACGCAATACATCTATGCTACAATTACGCGCACGCTTCTCATTGTAGATGTTTCGCTTATACGTTCGTCTATGTATAAATACGTTTGTAAATGTATTATTACATTTGACACCGTGCACGCAGAACATTCCAGAATTCTGATCGTAAACGGTTCACAATCGAAGTATCGACGAGAGAACTATTAGTCCGCATTATAATTATGCCTATGTATTGGAAACATCTCTGAAATGTGTGCATAATTATCGTGGAACGTTTTGCAATTGCAAACATAATTCGCGAGTTTGTAACTAAGTGAAACAGCATTCGCAGGAAATTTCATCCCCCTTTCCGTTCTACACTTCGTCAAGATTACTTAACGAGCCGTAATAATAATAATAATAATAATTAAACAAGAACAGAACAGAACGTAATATCTTATCGATTATCAAATGTTCCACGTAAATAAATATATTATACCGAATAAAATAATTAATAAAAAAAAAATGGAAATGAAAGAATTTTTCTACTAGGAAAAAAATTATATATATAAAACTGTTGCATGCTCGTTAACGTATGTTCATTTAAATCTAAAAAGAAAAGAAAAAAAAATAAACTGTAATCACGTATAAGCCTTTTTTTCTTTTTTTTCTTTCTTATAATAATTTAAAACATATATTTTATTTAAAAATATTACTTAAATGAAACTAATCAAAATCAATACCTATAATAATAATTAATATATATATATATATATATATAGAATATTCATACTTGTTCTATTAATCATTCATACGTGTCTGTTAATCATCTGACAATAAACCGTATTAGTTAATAATACTCGCACGTTGTAACTACTTATCCGCAAAGATTTCGTAACTAATTCAGTGAGAATCAGTAATGATCGAAGGAGTGGTAAACTCGTATACACGTATTTGCTGCATCAATGTACAGTAACTACGCACTATGTTTGCGGTCTAGCAATACAAATAGGGGTTGCTTTCCGGTCTTTGTGTCGGTATGGTACAGTCCGCCACCTCGGTTATTCATTCTCGAACATCGTTCCGCGTTATTCTTGATACCGCGAAATTTACTTTACCACGCGAATACAACTTTAAAAAGATTATAGAGTGAAAATCAAGCCCCGTGACAAATTAAGTTTGATCTCTCGTCACGAAGTCAATATTTTTTATTCTCTCTCTCTCTTTTTTTTTATATTTACACACACGTATAACCATACATATATATAAATGCATAAACGCACACGTCAACAATATCCGTTGGAAATAAAACAAATATTAAATGCAAACTTTGTTGATAGAGGTTGATTAAACAAAATCGCATCCCTTTTTCCAACCTCCCCCACGCCCCCCCTCAGTCTTTACAAATAGCAATTTAATTTCATATATCCAATATATATATATTAAAAATAAATTCATTGTCAAAAAAATCCTATGAATTATTTTATTAATTCTTACAAAAAAAAATAGAAGAAAAAAAAAGAAAGGTTATTCAACGGTACTTTCGAAATAAAATAGGAAGGAACAATCGTTGCAGTTTGATTCGCGTAGCACGGTTTACGTAAACCTAGACATTTGTGTCAATGCATTTTTATGCGTGTGTGTATACATATGCTTGTATAGTAATGTGCATATAGAGAAAACAGAGATTCAAAGTAACGTCTACGAAAGTTGTGTATGTGTATTCTAAACTGTGGATCGTTCGCTTAGGAAACGAGCGACTATTCGACTGAGTGCACACCACATACATATATATATACACTTATATATATATATGTATATGTACAACTAGGAATAACTATGTATGACGACAAAGAGTTCGTCGATCGGTTCTGTCTCGAGTCGTGCAGTTAGCACGCTCCACCGCAATAAGCTCTTAAGCTTTTCCATTATTCTCAACACGTACGGGCACTCTTCTTCCTTTGCCTTTCCATTTTGCCATTGGGCTGCTTTCTGGCATGCTGTCCCGTTCTAACATTTACACGATTCTCAGAAAAAAAATTTTCACACCGCCCGAGATATAAGAAAAATGATAGAAAAAAGAAAAAGTCGAGAAAGAGAGAAAAAAAAAGGAGAAAAAAAATAAAGTTAATAAACTTAAACATATTTTCATTAAAAACATGTCATTCAATCCGTATCAATAGTTATATGTATCTATCGATGATGTTATACTTCTTTGATTCCGATATGATACTAATATCTGCGTATATACTTATCA